ATGATTACAACTGGGAGAAGATGTTCACTCTTACTTTGCACGCTTCTCTACACTTGGCTCCATTACTTCTGTAACTTAAAAAAACCCCCTGCAACCTGACCTAGAGAGGTAGGTGTTATTTCTGTTGTTTAGTTAGCAAGCTGTGTCCAACTCTTTGAGACCCCACGGACTGTAGCCCACCAGGCTCCTCTGTCCACAGGATTTCCCAGGCAAGAATATGGCAGTGGGTTGCCATATCCTTCTCCAGGGGATCTTCCTGACCCAGGGATTGAATCCATGAGTCCTATATTGGCAGGCAGATTCTTTACCACTGAGCCAGTTACAGTTGGGGAAAAAAGCTCCAACAGGAGGCATGGCTGGCCTGGGGTGAAATGGTAGAGCTGTTTCCAGTGGAACCCTTTCCTCCTCACTCCCCAGTGAGCTCTGGGCTAGGTGATTTGGGCAGATGTCCTGTCCAGCAAAGGCTTCAGTAGCCAAAGGTTCTCTAAGCTGGGGTCTGGCAAGAGCTCTCTCCCCTTCCACGGTGCCAAGGCCCTGGGGAAGCAAAAGCCAGTAAAGTGTTGGTGCTAAAGTCTTAGAAAGGGTCAACTGTCCTCAGTCTACCAGAGTTCAAAGTCTGGGAGCCCTGCTCAGTTACTGCAAAACCCCAATGTTTATGCATTACCTACTGCCTCCCTGGCCTGGAGGTTGGACAGCAGAGCCTTAGGCTTAGCCTTAGGCTCCACTCCACCCTTCCCATGGAAGAGGTGGGTAACAGCTGGAGGTTTGTTGCGGTGGCCAGGCCTAGACACAGCCTCTCTGAGCCCAGAAGTCCAACCAGGAGCCTTCTCAGCCTCCACTATCCTGGGGATGCTGAGACTTTTTTACCTCTCTGCCCACGAGTGAGGTGGGAGAAGGGTGAGGTTGCAGGTCTCAAGCCAATGCTCCACAGTTTTCCTTTGTCCTAGGCCTCCCCAGCTCTGCCAGCTAGGGTGGGGTGGGTTGGGGGCTGGGGGAGAACTGGATAACTGTATCCTTGGAGTTGGAGCAGAGCTCTAGGCCCTGACATCCTGTGATCAGGAAGTGCTGGGTAAAGCTGAGCTTCTTGAAGTCACAAGCTGATTATGGGGGGATTTGGGGATGACCCAGCTCCAGGACAGTTAGGGTTGGTCCTGAAACGGCTTAGCATGGGACAAGAATCATCATGGAGATGTTTACAATGTCTGCACACCCAAACTGGACGTGCAAAGGGTCCTTCCATTTAAAACAGCCACCACCCTGGCTTAGGGCACTGGACCAGTCTCACCACAAGCACCATGGGGAGTGAACCTCCATTTTATGGGGAAGAAAACCAAGGCTGAGGAGAGTCACTTCCCCAAGGTCATAGTTTTGTGAGGATGTCTTGTTTCCATTCACAGAAGGCTTTCAGTTGTCAAATTATATCTAACCCAACTATTAGATTGTACCCAGAAAGAGCTTGGAAAGTCCTGGAATCTGAGAATTCCTGCTCATTTGGGGTGAGCGGAGGGTGACAGAAAAAAGGGGTGTAGAAGAGAAATATTAAAAAAAATAGCGAAGAACATCTCCAATTTTTGGACAGCTGTATCTTGGTTAAGCTTTCCTTCTCTGGCCTCAGTTACCACCTGTCAAACAAAGGGTTGGGCCATGCAGTGGAAGGTTTCTGCTGGGGACTTTCCTTTATCTTCTTGGGCCATCCCAGAAAGGCTGGCAGTGTGTTTTTTGGTGGGAGGCTAGTTTATGACCTTGGAAAAGTCATTTTCCATTGAACTGTGATATCATCATGACTTGGTATCACCCTCAGGTGAAGGCAGGGCAGCCCCATCAGCGGACCCATCTCGGGGCCTGGCACTCTCACCCATGTTCTGCTCTGCAAACCAGCTTCCTGACAAACCCCAAGTGGAGAAGAACTGGCCTGTTGGAACTTTAAGGAGTTGCCTGATCAAGTGATACAGCCCTGGTACACTGGGGCTCCCCAAAGACTCCCGTTGCCAGAATGCCAGACTTCCAGACAGAGGCTGCAACCTAGGTAACCCCAGGTCACCTAGGGCCCAGGTAAGTGCAATGCATCATGGGAGTCCAGAGAAGCAAGGGATATTTATGGAGCATCCACGGGGACAGACAGACACATGTATTTCTGAGTTCTTGCAGACACTCTAATGATGAAAATGACATCATTCTGCGGACGTGGTAACTGAGCTAAAGCTGGAATTCAAAACCACAAATGCAGGACTTCAAAAGCCTATGCTCTTTGTACCTCTGAAGGGCTGAGGAACCCCGCAGATTTCTCATTTCTCCTTTGTATGGAGGGTGGAGTCAGCAGAGATCCTGGGCTGTCATTAGGGTGCCAGGAAGGACTAGTTGAGGGGTCTTCACAAAGGGCTGGGTGAGACATCTGGGGGCAGGGCTCACCCTTGTCTGCTGCCCTATAGGGAGTGTGAGCAAACTCCCGGCTGGAACAAGAGGGTCTTCAACTTGTCTCCTCCCTACTTTTCACTCAGGTAAACATCACAATGAGCCGCAGAGAAGTGCAGGGAAGTCAGATGAGTCAGTTCCCAGTTCCAAGGAGATGAGGAGGAACATAGCAAATCGAACTTCAGAATCAGACACCCCTGGTTTTAAGACCTTGGGCCAGTGATATAATCTCGCCAGGCCTCAGTTTAACCTCCTGAACAAAAGGACTGGGTGTGCTGATAGAGTCAGCAGATCCAAAGGGAAGGGCTTTTTTCTAGAATGTATACAGGATGGTCTGTAGAAGCTTTAGCAAAAAAAATGAATTTTTTTTATTTTACTATAACTGCTATCTGTATTTGCCTTTTGAAATTTCTACTTTATGTACACATATAATCAATTATTATAACTGTGCACGTATATGAATTTATGTGTGCATGCTCAATCACGTCGGACTCTTTGTGACCCCACAGTCTATAGCCCTCCAAGCTCCTCTGTCCATGGGATTTCCCAGGCAAGAATAAATGCAGACAAACCACTGGGAAGGAGGCACTCCAAATTTATTTATTGATGGAGCAGGTAATCAAGAGTTTGGAGGGTACTGCATGAAAAACACCCATCTGCTACAGCATTTAGAACTGGCTGGCACATGGGCAGCCCTGGAAGTCAGGCAAACTCTCTCCCCTCTATTCAAAATTCAAGAAAGGCTCATGGTGAAAAGGGACAGTGTAGACTGAAAGCCCTTTCTGATTAGCCTGGGTTCAAATCCAGTTCAGCCACTTACTAGATGTGTGACTTCAGGAAAGTTACTTCTCTGAGCTCCCTTCCTGAACCATATGGAGGGTCAGTGATATTGAAAAGCATTTGCACCCAGAGCCTAGTAAACTATTAAGCGGCTGTTTTCTCTTCCACTTTTTTCTCTACTCAGAATACTGACTTATCCACTCAAGAAATAAACACCTAGGTCCTGCATCATATGTGGAACAGACATTTCTTTCCCTTGAAGGAGTGAAAAAGTTATCCTTCTCTTACAGACAGTAAAACTGAAGCCCAGGGAGGTTAAGTGACCTGCTAGAGCCCTGAGCTAACACAGCAAGCAAGCATTTAAACTTTGCAGTGCTAAGTTCTTACCATTAGCTAAAAGAGCTTCTCATTTTATTTGTATTTTGTTATATCCCAGCTGTCGGGAAATGTGTTCTGAGCTCAGGGTCTCCCTTCGGCCAGGGTGGGCTGGTGAAGCAAGTCGTCTGGATTCCTCAGGCACAAAGGAGCCTTTTCCCGCTGAGGGTACAGCCTGGCCACACTGTCACGCACCTCTCTGCTCAGCCAAAACCTTTCTCAGTTCCACTGGACACCTCCTTAGCCCATAGGAAGGGTAGTGCGCAATTCAGTACTAACACATACCAGGTGAAAAAACGTACACCCTCGCGCCTTCCCTGCCGAGTTTCAAAGAAAAAAAGTGACTCGACATATTCTATAGAAGGGGGAAGAAGGGAGGGAGGAAAGAAATAAGGCCCTACACAAAAGGTGGGGCCCAGTAAATACTTGTTGGAAAGGAGTCGTTCTGGGAAAGTCACAAAGATCCCCTGTAGGACAGGGAGGGAAAAAAGAGATCGTATCGAGGCAGTTTGCTCCCGCGGGAAGAGTCCTCATCTATTCAGAGTCCCGCGTCCCGCAGCTCCCTGGCGCGCGCTCCTTCCACTCCACTCAAGCCCGGGGCCCCTTCCCGAACCCCTGCCCCCACCTCCGGGATCGCAGCGGCGGCCCCAGGGATACGCTCTCCACGCGGCCCTCATCAGCCCCGCCTGAACAGGGAAACGTGCCACTTCGGAGCACATCACCCCACTTAGCTAAAGCTCTGGGCCTGCCCTACGCGGAAAGAAGGGCCTCGTACGCGGGCTTTTCGCCTCAGCCCTGTAGCCAGACATCCTGGGGTTGAAGCCGGGCCTTAACAGAGTGCCCTCCACCTAGGAGCCCCAGAGGGCTGGCGCGGAGACCTCGCGGGACGGCGGAAAACGCCCAGCACAAGGCCGCGCGCCCAGTGTTGCGCCGGGGAAATGAGAGCAGCGGTTCCCAGCCTGCCGAGCGGGGGCGGGTCCCTCCTCCTCCGCGCGCCAGGGCCGGGGCCCGGCTGGGGGCTCGGCCGGCTCAGCCAATGGGTGCCGCGCTCGGACCCTCCCCCGCCCCTGGAGGAGAGGGCGCGGGGCCTCAGCCGGGGAGGATCGTGAGCGACGTGCCGCGCCCGGGCCCTGAGTCCCCGGGCCCCGCCGGGCCGCGTGGACCGCGCCGCTCCCCGGAAGGAAGCCAATTACTCAGTGCGGGCGCCACCTACGCCCGCGGCGCCCTTGCGCCCGCCACATCCCGAGCCCATCCCTGTCACTGTCTCCCGGCCCGGCAGTGCGCTGCGCTCCCGGCCGGGGGAGAGGCCCAGGCCGGCGGAGCGATCAGCGGGGGTCCGCGCCTTTGTTCCTGGCAGGGAGGGCCGGCGGGCGCGCGGACTCACCTTGCTGGTGGGCTCCATGGCCGCGCTGCGCCGGAGGCTGTCGCTGCACCGGGTGCGCGGGCGGGCTGCGCTCTGTGGATCCCGCTCCGGCTTCGGTCTCGAGACTCCGTCTGCTACTCGCTTGGCCTCCCTCTGCCTAGCGAGCTAGTTGGTGAGACCTGCGGCCCACTGTCCGAATTCTCGCTTTGGTTACCTTTGAGCACTCCGACTGTCGCCTTTATAGGACCCCATCCATTGGCTAGCGAAGCTGGGGGGGCGGGGCGGAGGGGGTGGGCAGAGCCTGAGGGGCGGGAACTGGGGCACGTCCGGGGCGGGGCTCCGCGGGGAGGGGGCCGCGGTCACCGTCCAGGCGAGTGAGGGGGTTGGGGAGGGAGCGCGCCCGCTGGGTACCTTGTTCTGGCTGCGGATCTTCACCTCTCCCTGAGTCCTGAGAATTCTCTGGCTGTGTGACTCTCTGCAAGTGTGCGCACCTCTCTGGGCTTCAGCGGCCAGTAGCAAAATGGAGGAGCTCGTACCGGCTGTGATTCAAAACGAGGAGCCGCACACGGTCGCGCGTGAGAGTGAGGACTGGAGTCCTCACTCCGCCAAGGGATAACTTCGGGAAACTAGCTGTAATGATTATACCACCTCATAGGTTTGTTATGAAGATTAAGTGAGTTAATATTTGAAAAGTGTTTAGAGCAGCCTCTGTTATGTGGTAAGTGGTATTTAAGTGTTTGTTAGACTACAAGAGGTTTTGCTCCGTGATTTTCTCCCTTCTCCTCTCCAACCCCACATTCCTGTTTGTAAACCAAGTCTGCCTTTAGCACAGGCTGGGCCCTCTGCCTGAAAATCTATGCCCACCTCTTCTTAGGACTTTAATATCACCTCCTCTGTGAAGCTTTTCTCTACTCCTGAGAGTACCTGTGACTCTATGGTGACAGGTAAGTGTGAAAAATATGAATGGTAAGAACATAAGAGAACTTGGGTTTGAACCAGCTCCGCTGTAGACCAGCCCGGGTATGATCCTAGGCAAGGTGCTAGCCGATGAGGCTCTGCTTTCTTCTGGTTAACCGGGAATGACCACCACCACCAACTTCGGGTGCTTCATGAGAGATACAATGTCCAGATCAGCCCATGAAGTACTTAGCACATGTTGACTTGCATGTAAGGCCCCCTTTAGTGGTAATGGTATTTTTTCACCTTATTTCATTTGATTTCACCTTATTTCTTCTTCTGGACTCATGTCTTACTTGAGACACAGTGAAGGGAAAGACCCCTAGTCCAAAGGTCTGGACAAAGGTCTGGACAAAATCCTGAGGTTAACCTGAGGGTCCCTTTCTCTATGGAAGGGGTCAGGAGGGGCTATTTTCTGTTGGAAAGGAGGAGCCTGGGCATGACCCCTGGAGTCCTCTGTCTGGGCTATGGGTCCATTGCTGGCCAAGGGATCGGGGTTCCCTGGCTGGGCAAGAAGCCCTGGCAGGGAAGGCAACCCCCTTTTCAGTGCATCTCTGCCCATGGCTCCTATTTCTAAGGTCTCCCAGTTGTGCAGCCTGGAAAGCTTGGGGCCACCTCTCTCTGCATCTGGTGCCCAAGCCCCTAAGTCCTGTCTATTTCACCTTTCTGTCCCACCTCATCCTCCTTCTCTTCTGCTGTCTGCGGGGCCTCCGGCACCTCTGGCCCTCGTCCTGTAGTGCTGACCCTCATTGTTCTGTTTGTATGTCCCATGTTGCCATAGAGGCAGCAAGGTCCAGCCTGGCTAGCAAGGCCTTCAGGGCATTAGTTCACAGGCTTAGCCTCACCCTTCACACTTGCACTTGCCACATCTGTACCTTTGCTCAGATTGTTTCCTCTGCCTGACTCCCTTCACCCCTACCTCATCAGGCCGAAGTGCTTCTGATGGCACAAAGTACCTCTAGAATGGGGCCCCTTCCAGGAGGCGTGCCGAGTCCTCCACGAGGGACTTGTTCTCCCTTTTACCTTTTGGTGTTTCTTAGTGTGTTGCTGTGCTTTCTCTCTTCTTCCAGACTGAGCACCTTGAGGATGGCTTCTATAGCTGAGACACAGAGGTGAAGGAAGAAGGCAGAAATGAATGAAAACATGAGCAGCTAGTCTGCCTGTTTCTTGCCAACACAAGTGTTCCTTGAAGTACCTTTTGGGTTTTGCCACTTCCCTGCTCCAAGTGTCTCCATTGATCCCTATTGCCGAATACATTCAGTCTACTGTGTATACCTCTTCCCAGCTGTGGCTATGCCCCACCTAGCTCACGGGGGTACCCTCACTATCAGACTCTCTTTCCTTCTCCAGGCCAGCCCTGTCTGTGCTGGCTGCTTCCCCAGGGACAGAGGCAACCAAGACTGTTGCTAACCTTATGGATTCCCCAGACTGGAGAGAATGAAGAGGGGAGGTGCACAGCAACAATACTGAGTTGGGTATGCATGGTTAAGAATGTGTGTTGGAGCAGATCTTGTACCACAAAGGAAGGAGAGGGAGTAGAGAGAGCTTCAGGATAGGGAGAAGGCAGGCTGAGCAGGGTTTAGCAGGCTAAATTTGAGTTCAGCAGGTGGGTCAGAGGGAAGGCCATTTTGGGCAAGGGGAAGATCACCTGCAAAGACAGGAGACAGACAGAGAGTAACTGCTGAAGGGAAGAAAGAATCTCTTGACCACACGCCTGGTGGTGGAGCCCTGGATTCGGTTTCCTGAGTCCCAGTTCTGCTGTTTACCTGCCAAACATCACTGAACAGATAAATCCCTTCTCTCTTCTGAGCCTCAAGACCTACATCTGTAAAATGGGTGTAACAATCCCCTCCTGAGTTGGCCAGAGGAAAAACGGATTATGTACAAAAGTTTATCCAAATAACTTATGACTTCCCTGTAGCTCAAACGGTAGAGAATCTGCCTGTGAGGCAGGCGACCAGGGTTCTATCCCTGGGTTGGGAAGTTCTTCTGGAGAAGAAATGGCAACCCCCTTCAGTATTCTTGCCTGGAGAATTCCATGGAGAGAGAAGCCTGGCGGGCTACAGTTCATGGGGTCACAAAGAGTCGGACATGACTGAGTGACTAACACACACACACACACACACACACACACCCACACACGATTTGTGATGTCAGAAATTCAATCAAACTGCCTTGCTATGGTCAGGGTGGAACTTGAAGACAGAGCAGAGTAGCTAGAAAAACAGCTTTGCCTTCACCCTCCCCCATCATACTTGCCCCAATAGACCCCTATCATTTGCTTGAAATTCCATTTCTAAATGTTCTCATTGTAAAAGCTTTATGATCCCTAGAAGGTACTGTGTAGAGGTAAACTCATCAGGCGCTGTTGACACCGGCCAGATATTAGATTCGCAGGTAGACTTGTTTAGTTTTTGGATGGCTGAGTCCTCCGCGACCAGATTTAACTCCAGCCAGGGAGGGAACATCAGAGAAAGCTTAAGGAAGTGAGCCTGGAAGGTTGGGATGCCTGGGGAGAGAGAGCAGATGCCATGGAGGTGCAGCTTAGGGCAGAGGGAGCCAGGCTCAGTAGCCCCTGCGGCGGGAGTGCAAAGGGTTGGGAGCAAGAAGGGGATGAAGTTCTCGGAATCTGAGTGGGAGAAGCAGCTGAAGAGGCGGGGTGAAATGCTAGGTATAGGAGTTAGGACTTTATTCAGTGGGCAGTGGGGAGCCATCGAGGGTTTTTGAGCAGGGAAGGACCGGAGGAAGTCTCAGCCCTTTGTCAAGCCTACCGCACTCCAAAGATTTAAAGGGGAGTGTAAGGAGGCGGTGAAGCCCTAGGGCTCCGCTTGGAAGGACCAAGTAACCCCTCCCCAAGCTTCGCTCACACTGGCAGCTTTGTTCGCAGGAGGCTGCATTTAGCTCTGGAAGGAACTCGAACTTTTGGATTCCAGGCTGTTCTAGTCCTAGCCAGTTGGAGGAAAAAAGCTCCCTGGGACTGGCTGGGCGGCCTGGTGCGTGCCTGTGAGCACGCTAACACGCTCCAGGTCCCCAGCCGCGCTGGCCGCTGTGCGGGGGCGGTCTTAGCAACTCCGGAGTCACAAGTGAGTAAGGCTGCCTGGGGAAAGACGCTGTTTTTTTTTTGGTTTTTTTTTTTTGGTTTTTTTTTTTTTTTTTTTGCCTTTAAAGGCAAGCGTCCTTGGCAGCCAGGAGAAAAGCCTTTGCTGAGTCAGCTGCCGCTGACGCAAGTGGGGCTGACGGGCTGGGATGGACGGGAGAGCCCCCAATCCGCGGGATGTCCTGCAACCCCGATCCTCCCAGGCTGCAGGTAAACACGGTGTTGGACTCCTGGAAGGCCTGATGCGCCCGGCAGGACAGTCTGGTGTGTTTACTGTTTTCATTCTGACTTGCGCACCTGTTCACACCGCCTGCTCACAGAGCACTTTTCAGCTTCCTCTTCTTTATCCTTTCACGTGCCTCTCCTCGGCCCTCTGCTCTCAGCAGGGCCACCACCTGCTCGCAACGCTGGGGGATATTGAGGGAACCCTTCCTCCTTGTCTCCCGCACCAGGCTTGTCTGTCCAGGTGCCTCCAAGACAGCCCTTTGAGTGCCCCCCAGGTCCCTAGCCACAGGTAACTAGCCTTCACCATGATTAAGTCTAAAATTATCACCCTCTCCCATCTCTCCTTGTCCCCACTGCAGAGACGTTTCCTCTATCCACCAAATAGCCCAAGCCAGAGATCTGACATCTTCCTGGACACTTCTTTCCCCCTCCTCCTCAACCCAGTCAATCGTGTGGACTCTGCCCTTCCAAAACAGGCACTGGACTCCATCCCCTTCTTTCATCCCACTGGCCTGGCTATAGCTCTGCTGGTTCGTCCTCCCACCTGCCACCTCTCTAGTCTCTCAAACACTCAGCCAGCACATCATCATTTCCCTTTTTAAACATCTTTCCCTGGCATGCAAGAATGTGGCTACAGCTCACAGACGTGAAAGAAGCCAAATGCAAAGGAGTGCGATTTCGTGTATGCAAAGTTCAAAAACAGGCAAAACTTATCTATGGATTAGAAGTCTGGATAATAGTTACCTTGGAGGGATGGTAGTGACCATGAGCGGGGCTGGTGATCAGGGCTGGGGCTGTGGTGAGGCAGATGAGGTAGGATCGGCCTTACAGATATTACCCTTTGCCCTAAGCTTTCATGTGACTCATCATGGCG